AGGCGCATGCTACCACACCCGGCTAGTTTTTTGATTTATTGTAGAGATGAGGTCTCGCCAAGTTGCCCAGGCGGGTTCCTTCTAATCTTATCTGACATCTGCTCCTCCAGGAAGCCCCTGTGACCCCTCTGTGTGAATGCAGAGCTTTCTGGGGCTGTGCTGGCTGCCCCCAGCAAAGGAGCACAAATCACACCATACTGAAATTGGATACATCTCCTTAAGCCCCGTCCATGATGGGAAGTATCTCAAGGGTAGGATCTGGGTTTGATTAAGTTCCCATTCCCCAAGGCACTACCTAAAGCTGGGTCCCAGGAGGCTTCAGGAGACATATGTGAAATGGGGGGAAGGTTACAGAGACAGAAACAGTGGCAGAAGTGAAAAGGTAGAGAAGGGAGACAAGTAGAGGAGAAAACAGGGATAAAAGAGCGAGCCAGCCTAGGACTACCGTCACATCGGCATGTGGCACACTGTGCCCAGGCCTCCCCACTCTGGGGTAGGGCATGAAAAAGTGCCTGCCTGGCTGGGTGGCAGAACCAGGACTGCCTGGGTGCTGGTGGTTAGGAATATAAAACAGGGAAAGGATCGATCAGGGTGCCAGACTTCCAGAATCTGAGGGAGAAGGGTCCTGGGCCCTGGATTCTGGGTTCTAGGGAAGAGGGGACCCAGGTGGTGAGAGCACTGACTTGCATCCAGTTCGGCATGAGGCTCTCCCAGACTCATGGGGATGCGAAACCCGGCTTGGTCCTCCTCCAGCATCTGAAGCAGCTCGTCCTCGGTCACGTCAGCCGGAGGCGGGATGGAGGGAGAGTGACAGATGTTGATGAAAACCTTCCCTTCCGATGAGTTGGTCTTTATGCAGAAACCTGGTGGGAGTGGGTTTGTCCTGACCATCTGTCTGTGCACGAGTCAGTCTCCATCCATCCACTCCCTCCCTAAGTCTTGCCCTTTTTTGCTCTGTCAGTCTCTTTCTGGATGTGTTCCCCTCCCTGACCCTGGCCCTCTTCCTATCTTTGAATCTGTGCCTTTTCCCACTCTTGCTCTGTCTTCTACTTCCAAATCTTTGGATCACTGTTCCTTGGTGATCTCTGTGGATGCCACCACATCCCCACCCCAGGCCTTTATACCCCCATTATCGTGTCTCTTTCCTTCCTCTTCTCTCTGCCCCCACCTCTATGCCCCTCTCTCTGGGTCTCTGTCCCTCTCTCCAGGACTCTGTCTCTCCCCTGGGTATCTGTCTTTCTCACCAGGCTGAGGCTGAATTTGTGTAGATTCTGGTCTGGTTGTCTGAGCTTGCTGGAGCTCCTTGGAAGCCTGTGTGACAGAAAACAACTTTCAGGCTTGGAGTCTGAGTTATCAGACCCCTCATTTGTTCCTCAAATGTTTAATGGGCAATTCTTAAGTAACACAGCTATGGATAATACAAGAAATTAGACAGTCTGGGTCCCTTCCTTTTTTTTTTTTTTTGGAATCAGAGTCTCACTCTGTCACCCAGACTGGAGTGCAATGGCATGCTCATGGCCACCGCAGCCTTGACCCGCTGGTCTGTGATCCTTCTACCTCAGCCTTCCAAGTAGCTAGAACTACAGGTACATGCCACCACGCCCGGCCAATTTTTTGATTTATTGTAGAGACGAGGTCTCACAAAATTATCCAGGCTGGTCTTGAACCCCTGAGCTCAGGCAGTCCTCTCGCCTCTGCCTCCCAAAGTGCTGGGATTACAGGCGTGAGCCACCATGCCCGGTTCT